TATAGGGTCGCCTCTTAGAGGGTACAACACTCTTAGGTATATACCCTTGTACTCTCTCACTATCCCATCTATTCATTCCGTTCTAAGACCCGACACCTGTTCAATCCCCCAAGTTCAAGTTCCCCCACAAAGTTCTCCACTTCCGAGTGTGCAAGTATGATGACGTGCAAAACTTCGTGGGGGCTGGTTCATTTCCCCCATAAATTTCATAAATTCGTGGGATATTAACGCAAATATTCCGAAGCACTCGCGTTCTGCAAATGCCGAGGCCGAGCTTTTTGTGACGTATCGCAAAGCCGACATTGTGAAGGCGTGTTCTTACTCGACACGTTGTCGGGCAACTTCGCTTCATTCAAGATTTTTCCCGTCAGATTCGCTTGTCAATTACGAATTGACACGAGTTAGCGTGTTCCTTATATCACGTAGACTCACGCCCTGAAGCACGTCGAATCGAAAGTCTGTCTACAAGCTGTCCTTGCAAGTGTATGATTGGTTGTCGAGGGACTTCTGTCAGCCCCTGAGAGAACTTCGAAAAGAAAAGAAAAATAAAGGCAAAAGGGCTGTGGAAAGAATGTCCCTAAAAATGGAAAACTTAGCCAATTTTCGTTCGTAGGTGGGGGTGTGAGAGGGGTGCCTCTAGAGCAGGACTTCAACAAATTTTATGGGTTGCTGGGTGTGTGGGGGAACTGTCTCTGGCTGAAATTTATAGGTTGCTGGGTGTGTGAGAGGACTTGACTCTGGTGGCTGGGAACTTAGTCGAATTTTTTGGGTTCAGGGCAGGTAGGTGCAGTATGTCAGTCTCAGTCACATAGTCAGTCTTTTGTGGGTGTTGGAGGTGTGAGAGGGGTGTCTCTAGAACAGGACTTCAACAATTTTTACGCGCTGCTGGTTGTGCTGGGGGGAGCTGTCTCTGGCTGCTAGGACTTAGCCAGATTTTATAGGTTGCGGGGCGGGGTGTGTGAAAGGACTTGACTCTGGCCGTTGGGGATATGGACAAAAATTTATGGGTGAGGGCAGGTAGGTATGTCTGTCTCAGGGTCCGTACGCGCTGTGCTCTGAAAAATCAGTATCCACAAACTGCCAAGTCTGAGATTCTCAGGATTCAAAAACATATAACTCTGAAGGGTTCAGCATTCAGAAATTGGCAAGTCTGAAAAATCAGGATCGGCAAAAAATAGGTCTGAAATTTCAGACCATCAGACTAAAATAGTCTGATAAAATCAGCCCTGTTTGGAAGTATTTCAAGTGGTGTCTTCACAGAATTCTACAGACACATGGCGACTAGGGATGTGCTGCTGGTCTTCCAGCTGGAGGCTGCTGGCTTGAGAGGAAGTGAGGGATGAAGTGGAGGAAAAGACGGGTGTTGCGCCGCTGACCACTTGCATGTGGTGGTGTCTATCAAGTTGAGAGAAGTGATTGATAACTAGTGGGAGAGTACAGATAGATATACCTGAGTATTGTACCCTCTAAGAGGTTACCCTATACAGTCTATGCAAACATAACAAATACACATGTTTGACACACCCCCTAGACTGCATAGGGGAATGTCCTAAACAAGCAGCTCAGGGCGGCACTACTAGTCCAACCTCTGAGACAAGGGTCTAAAAGACTAGTCAGAAGGAGTACAGACAAGGCAAGAACAAGACCAGGGCGGCACTACTAGTCCAGCCACTGAGAGAGGACACAAGTCCAGTCTGAGTATACATATAAAGGGCAGTACAAAGTCAAGGCCCTAGCAAGTGAGAGGCTACAGGGACTAGACCAAGCTGTACACAGTGCCGCTGATGATCTTTAGGCGCAAGCGCCTTCGTAAAGATATCAGCTGTGTTGGCACCTGAGGCCAAGTGTACTACGCGAGCCTGGTGTCGCTGCTGTAGCTCGCGCAGGAGGAAGTACCGCAGCTGAATATGCTTTGCTCTGCCCTCGAGTCGAGGCTCCTGACACAGGAGGATCATGGCCCTGTTGTCAGCGAACAGGACCGGGGCAGAGCTAGGCCGCTCACCTAAGTCAGTGAGCAAGAAGGTCAGCCAGCTGAGCTCCTATGCCGCCATGGCACCAGCGTAGATCTCGGCCTCACAGCTGGACTGGGCAACAGACGAGGAGCGGGTAACTCTCCACGAGACGGCACCTGAGCCAAGGCTGAAGCAGTAGCCCTGGGTAGACCTGAGTGTCTCGGCGTCGTCTGCCCATGAAGCGTCAGTGTGTCCAGTAAGGACCACTGGCCTGCGTCCTCCTAGCACTAACCCCATGCCCGATGTACTAGCAAGATAACGCAAAACCCTCTTAGCGGCAGACCAGTGCTGCGGTCGGTGTCTGCCGGTGGCCACAAAGCGCGCCAGGATGCTGAGAGGGTATGCGAGATCTGGGCGAGTGCAAGTCATCAGGTACATGAGGCAACCCACCAGCTCTGGGTAGGGGCCGCTGGGCTCAACCGACTCCTCAGACACTAGAGCGGAGAGTCTGTGGTCTACAGGCAGAGGGGTGGGCTGTGCAGAGGAGAACTGAAGGTTGAACCTCTGGAGGACCTGACGCACCAAGTGTGACTGAGTCAGGGTGATGGTGCGCGCTGCTCTGTCCCTGGAGATCTGCAAGCCAAGGTAGCGGCGCAGTTCTCCAAGGTCAGTGCACGTGTGTCTCTTCTCCAGCTCTGCCTTCACGGAGGCCAGTGCGTCCCTGTCTGCTGTGGCAAAGACCAGGTCGTCGACGTAAACAAGGATGTAGAACGGAGTCTGGCCAGCACGAACGAAGAGTGAGGGGTCTGCGGAAGACGGAAAGAACTGCAGGTCAGGAAGCGTAGCACGGAGAGTGTCGTGCCACTCACGGGGAGCCTGGCACAGGCCGTAGACGAGGCGCCGCAGGAGCCACTGGGTCCCAGGAGGGAAGGTGCCAGTAAAGCCCTGAGGGCGACGCAAGTAGACCTGCTCCTGTAGGCTGCCCTGAAGGAAGGCAGTGGAGAAGTCGAGGGAGTGAAGCTCGTAGTCACGCTGAGCAGCTAGGTGTAGCAGAACCCGAAGAGTAGTCATCTTCGGGGTCGGAGCGAAGGTCTGGAAGAAGTCCACCCCCTCACGCTGATTGAAGCCTCTAGCCACGTAGCGCGCCTTGAACACAGGCGGCTCTCCAGGAGGGCGCTTCACCTTGAAGAGCCAGCGGCCATCGACTACGTTCACCCTAGGCGGGGGAACTGCGTCGACGAAGGTGCCGGTGGATCTCCAAGATGCCATCTCGTGCTCCATGGCAGCTATCCACTGAGAGGCCCAAGGTCCCGAGGTCGCCTCAGCGTAAGTGCGAGGGGTCGGGATGTCGAAAGCGTCTGGGTCACCCTCAGGGACTAGTAGCATGGAACAGAGATGGGGAGCAGCCTCGGAGAGGAAAGCAAGCTCGAACTGGCGGTCCTCCAGGACGTCACTGCCAAGGGCAGGAGCACCCCCGACAGACGGAGGACAGGCAGGGTCAGAGACCAGAGCGGTGGCGTAGTCAAGGCGGCGGGTAGAGGCGAAGTCAGCGACCGCAGCTACAAGAGCGTCAAGGCACGAGACCGGAACAGACGGGTCAATAACGAGAGAGTCAAGGACCCGGGGAACAAGAAGACGAGCGGCACGAAGGTAGTCAGACAGCGGGGGGGGTGCAACAACAAGGGAGGACGGAGGAGGCGACGGCAGAAGGGGAGGACAAGACGCGTGGGAACGAAGCAACATAGGGTGGGAGCGCAAGACAGGCGAGGCAGGACGAGCACGGGAGGGACGGTGAGACCAGACGTGCGACGGAGGAGTCGGGTCAGGAGACAGGGGAGGGGACACAGGAGGGGAACGAGGGGGAAGACGGGCCGGGGACGAGTCCGGCGGAGGGAACACAGGGCCGTAGACGGGAAGAGGAGGAGACGGTCGGAGAGGAACAGCCGCAGGGTCAGGGGACGGAAGGCCGAGCAGGCGAAGGGCGGACACCGGCGGGGACTGCTGCTCCGGCGGCACAACGGCGACACCGGGACTGCAAGCTGCTCCTCGGCTACCACCGGCACACTCCACACCAGCACCCCCAGAGGAACTACCCCCAGGGCTACCGGTACTAGCACCCCTAGAGTCAGCGAACGAGTGCTGCGACGGCGGCGGCGGCGGCGGCAGCGACACCGACGGCTGCAGCGGCGGCAGAGGCGATGGACGAGGGGACTGGGGAGGGGACGCCGGTGGAGGGGCGACCGGCGAGGACTGCGCAGCAGGGCCACCGGAGTCAGAAGACTCCTCAACCGGGTCCACTGACGGGAGGGGAGTGACGTGGGACACACGAAAAGGGGCAGGACGGGGAGGAGGAGGGGGAGGGGCTTTTTTTTTTTTTTTTTTTTTTTTTGAGATAAGTGATTGATAACTAGTGGGAGAGTACAGATAGAAATACCTAAGTATTGTTCCCTCTAAGAGGTTACCCTATACAGTCTATGCAAACATAACAAATACACATGTTTGACGGGGTGTGTGAAAGGACTTGACTCTGGCCGTTGGGGATATGGACAAAAATTTATGGGTGAGGGCAGGTAGGTATGTCTGTCTCAGGGTCCGTACGCGCTGTGCTCTGAAAAATCAGTATCCACAAACTGCCAAGTCTGAGATTCTCAGGATTAAAAAACATATAACTCTGAAGGGTTCAGCATTCAGAAATTGGCAAGTCGAAAAATCAGGATCGGCAAAAAATAGGTCTGAAATTTCAGACAATCAGACTAAAATAGTCTGATAAAATCAGCCCTTGTTGGAAATATCTCAAAGGACTTAAGCGTTTCTGAAGTATAACACTGTACTCGAGGAAGATTACAGAGGAGCACGCGAGTCAACGGAGGTTGCACGAGGGGGCGGACAAAGAATGCGAAAAGACTCGAAAGGTCGCAACTGGAGGTTGCGACTGACCGTTACAACATCACGGATGGTAACCGAAGCGGCAATCGAGTCGCTGTGCGACTCGATAAACCGTTCCTGTAACTGTATTCTACAACTGTCTTCTTATCTTCTATATATTGTTGTATGCTTGTTTCTTTAATCAATCACTTGTTCTCACATACTAGTACAAGGGTTCAACCGTCTCAACTTCCGCTGCACTACTCAAGTCTCACTCTACAACCGGGACTTAGTCTCTGAAAAGATCCTAAGGGCCTTTTCTCAGCCCAACATGGTATGAGAGCTGGTTAGAGACCAAACTCCCAGCAACTGCGCTCCATCAACCTGCAACTCAACTCAATTCAACGACTTCATTGATCACAAGACATGGACAGCAAGGGCAAGAAAGTCTCTACGGGCTCACCCAGCGGCCAAGAAACTCAACACGGCAACTCTGGTCTGCACACCTCAGGACTGCAGACAGAGACCGGGACTGCTCAAGAAACAACGGGAAGAGTACCAGAGATGGTGACTCCATCTCCCTCTTCAAGCGTGGAGCCCAACCTTATGGAAAGATTCTTCAGCTTCATGTCGCACTTCGACCAGCAGCAGCAGACAAGGACACCTGCACATTCAACACAGAGCAATGGAGGAAACATGGGATTAGCGCCGATGAGCCTCGACAACTCATCGTTTGGGCGACACAATCAAGCGCCTACCTTTGCGCCTTATCACTCTTCACCGGGGACGTTCGAGTTCATGCCGCCCCGTGCCCAACCAACAGCAGCTGCATCACAACAAACACCAAACGAAATCTTAAGTCTCCAGGCGCAGTTTTCACACGTGATTAAACTGCAGACATCCTCACCGTTCAACGGACACGACTTCTTTACCTGGAGCTTCGAGTTCGAGCTGCTGATGGAGGCTGCGCACCTTCTGGGATACTTCAACGGGTCCCTGCCATTCCCAAGCAACGGCACTGGAAAGGAACAAGAAATCTTCACGTATCAGTCGCTGCTGGCGTATACGGTTCTCCTGAGAAACCTGTCACCACAAGAACAGCAAAGCATCATAACATACAGGAGCTATGGAAACTCCGCGGAGCTCGCATGGCACCATCTCAAGTGCCTCTACCAAGCAAACGACAGCGTGACACAAAGCAGACTCATGCAACAACTGACAACAATACAAATGAAGACCGGGGAAAAGGCGATGCAGTATATGAGCCGCTGCCAGACCCTCCGCGACCGCCTGCTTCGGTGCGGAGGAACAATCACTGAAGAAAGCTTCGTGACACTTGTCCTCGCCGGGCTCGGGCCAGAATGGAGAAACACACGATCGCTTCTTCGCGCCCACGGAAGGATTTCGGAGATGCACCTCTGCGCCGAGCTTCACGCTGAACAACAGGAGATGGACCTGTTCGAAGAAAGACAACCAAGGAAGCAGCAGCAGTTAGTCTTCTACACTCAACGAAGAAACGACAACACCTACAATCGACGCGGCAAGCAAGAACGCGACAACAGGGGATTTACCTTCGTGCCGCCGTTCTGCCACAACTGCCAGACTTCCGGGCACTCCAAGGTCAACTGCAACCGCCCTCACGTTTACCGTCCAGCAGACCCACAAGTCGCTTCCACTCAAGCAAGTCCCCCAAGACGCTCTTCAACATCTGCACAACAGACACCAAACATTATCAATTGCATGGTACACATCGACAACTGCGCACCCGGCTCACCACCCACTTACGCGCCAGACGAAGAAGAGCTCCCGCCACCGCGCTCACAAGGCCTTCAAGTCAATCCAACATATGCTGCGGTCGCCAACGCCGAACCCACCGGGCGAAACACCTGGTTCTTGGACAGCTGCTGCGGGCAACACATGTGCTCTTCGGGACGATTCGTGCAACAGGAGAAACGCCTCAACCGCGACGTCGTCATCACCGTCGCCAACAACGAAAATCTGAAGACAAACAGACAAGGCGTGGTTCAGTTACAATCCATGGAGACAAACGTCATACTTCAGCTCAACAAAGTCCTCATTGTCAACAACCTGGGATACAACCTACGAAGCGTAAGCCAACTAATGGCCAAGGGGATTCACCTGGAGTGCGACTCCTACTCCAACGAGTTTCGGCTATACCACGGAAAGGGTGGCCTCTTCATCGGTCGTGCCCTCCTGAAATCCGGCGTCTTCGTGTTGGACTTCGTCCCCGACCGCGGTACTGCCGACAGCGACGGCATCGTATCATTCGCCGCCTGGACACACCCGCCGGATCTTGATCCAGAATTCGGCAGCGACGACTTCTGGCACTCCAACACCATACCTGCAGCAGAAAGAACACGAGCATTAGCAGTCATCAGACAAGAAAGACAAGTACCCGCGAGTATTCCAACCAAACCATCACCTGCAGTAGCAGCAGCAGGACCCAGCCGAGTCCCACCACCGGCGATCCGAGGACCGCCAACCGAAGCAGACCAACTTATGCCCATCACACGAGAAGTTTGTCGAAGTCCCGCCACAGTCGTCGCGTTCTTCTCCAACGCCGACATATACCACCGCTCGCCGGGTCATCGCGCTTCCGACGACATCTGGCACCAACGCCTCGGGCATCCTGCAAACAGCACGATACTACAAACGATCCAAGCAGAGGTGTTAGAACGCAACACCCTCCTAACGACGAGCGGCCAAGAACTTCGAAGACCACGAGCACGGTGCTTCACGTGCCCCGAAGCAGATCTTCCCCATCAGCCTTTTCCATCTCATCACAACCCAAGCGCACCTACCTACGCTCCGATGGAAAAAGTCTACAGCGATATTTTAAACATGCCTCGAGAAGACACCGAAGCCGACTTCAACTACGTCATCACGTTCATCGACGCAGCAACCAGATACGTCTGGCACTTCAATCTCAAGACGCGCGATCAAGCTTTCGACGCCTTTACAACATGGCTTCCCATCGCCGAACGAGAATCAGGAACCAAGCTCAAGAGCTTCCATTCAGACGGTGCACTGGAATACCAGTCACAACGCTTCAGGACCTATCTGGCGGAAAGAGGAATCAGACGCCTGGTGTCTCTGCCCTATGCTCACCAGCAGCAGGGGGTCGCAGAACGCATGAACCGGACCTTGCAGACGACAATGCGAAAACTGCTTCTGGGGATGAGGCTGCCCACCACACTGTGGCCAGACGCGATGACACATGCAGTTCACCTGCACAACCTGCTGTCCTCGTCATCGCTTCCCAACAACGCATCACCGCACCTGTTGTGGACAAGAAAAAGGGGCAGCACAAAATTACTCCGAGTTTTCGGCTGCATGGTACAGTACAGACCCCACACAGCCCGAGCAGGACGCTTCACACAACGAGCTCGGTGGGGACTACACCTCGGCATCGCCAAACATTTTCACGCGTGGAAAATTCTCGACATACAAGACAAAAATACCGTGGCATCACGTGATGTTATCTTCTACGAGCGACTGACGCTGCAGCATTACCTGGACAACATTGCCAACACACAAGACCCCACCGACGGCTTCTCCGGACTTCGTTCCTTCGCCGACCGTGCTGCCGAAGCTGACGCAGCAGAAGAAGACGTACCTGAAGCCTCGGAAGCTGCCGGACCACTCCCATTCTGTTCCGTACCTGTTCCACTCGACGAAGACAATCCTCTCGATAGTAACAACCTCGACACCTTTTACCACCTCGCTGACCAAGGTTACATTACACCCCACCCAGTCGACACAAATGTTTCAGAACGCATCGGTCCCAACTTCTCACCTGACCCAGAAGACGGTGACGAAGCAGCTTATTCCGGGAATGAAAATTCCCCTCGACACACACCCACGGGACTGCAGATTCTAGGCCTCTGGGTCTCCGTCCAGCATCCGCCGCCGCCTTCTCCGCGAGAGCCTTCGACCCTGTCGCAGGCTCTGGGGGGGGAATATAAGGCAAAATGGAAGGAAGCGATGGAAAAGGAGTTAAAGGCTTTGCAAGACCGGAAAACATGGAAACTGGTACCTGCAACAAGCATCAACGGAAGAAACGTCCTCTCGGGGAAATGGGTGTACCGCATTAAGACCAACTCAGACGGCTCCATCGAACGATTCAAAGCTCGATGGGTCGTACGAGGCTTCGATCAACGATACGGGACCGACTACACAGAAACCTTCGCTCCAGTCTCCCGTCACACCTCATTACGCATCCTACTCGCCGTCGCGGCCACGAAGACATTACCACTACGCCAAATCGACGTCGCGAATGCGTTCCTATACGCACCTGTGGACGCCGAGATTTTCGTCGAACAACCCCACGGATTCATCGACGACCCCACGAAAGTATGCCAACTAACAAAATCCCTATACGGGATCAAGCAAGCCCCGCGGCTCTGGCAGCAGCATCTCCACGGCCATCTCGCAAAAATCGGATTCCTACAACTGCCGCATGACCAAGGAATGTACCGACTGCAGAAGGGAAGAGAGTATATCCTACTCATCGTCTACGTCGACGACCTGCTCTACATCGGCTCCACTACCGACATCACCACCTGGTTCGAACGGGAGCTGAAAGAAGACTTAACACTCACGGTGTCCGACGAAGTGACCCAGTACCTAGGACTGAATGTCGACGAAAACGACACGGCGTTCTACCTACACGCTGGAAAGTACTCAGGCACCGTCGCGAAGAAATTCGGTTTAACATCTACTACTGTCCCAACCCCCTACCACTACGGGAACAACAACAGCACCTCCGCAAAACTCCCTGCGAAGCAAATCCAGAGTATCAACAGAAGCCCGGCTGCCTACTATTCGCAGCAGTAACCTGCCGACCCGACCTGTCCTATAGTGCGAGTCAACTGGCGACGCATCTGAAGCAACCGGAACAAGAAGATCTTGAGGAACTCAACCGGGCACTACTCTACTTCGTCTCCACGCCGACGATCGGGCTTACCTACAGCAAAGCGACAACACCGTCCGTACGACTACTCGGATACGTCGACGCCGACCACACGGGAGATAGGGAAAATCGACGATCTAGGACGGGCTACATCTACCGACTAGAACCCATCGGAACTATCTCCTGGCAGTCGAGCAAGCAGGAGTTAATCGCACTATCCTCGGCTGAAGCAGAGTATATCGCCCTTTGTACTGCGACCAAGGAAGGACTCTACCTGCGGGAGTTACTCGAGGAAGCGAAGATCGCGACCCTGCCCGTCTTCTCACTCCTCTGCGACAACCAATCTGCGATCAAAATCGCGAACAAGGACGGCTTCGCCAACCGAACCAAGCACATCGCCCTGCGGTACTTCTTCGTCAAGGATGAAATCGCGAAGGGGAGACTTCAACTCAGTTACTGCCCGACGACAGAAATGGCCGCAGATTATCTGACGAAGAAATTAGCGAAAGCAAAATTCGACTACTGCATGCTCCTGACCGGACAAACAAACGTCACCGGATCTGAACACGCCAGCACTCCAGAAACGAAGGGGAGTGTTGGAAATATCTCAAAGGACTTAAGCGTTTCTGAAGTATAACACTGTACTCGAGGAAGATTACAGAGGAGCACGCGAGTCAACGGAGGTTGCACGAGGGGGCGGACAAAGAATGCGAAAAGACTCGAAAGGTCGCAACTGGAGGTTGCGACTGACCGTTACAACATCACGGATAGTAACCGAAGCGGCAATCGAGTCGCTGTGCGACTCGATAAACCGTTCCTGTAACTGTATTCTACAACTGCCTTCTTATCTTCTATATATTGCTGTATGCTTGTTTCTTTAATCAATCACTTGTTCTCACATACTAGTACAAGGGTTCAACCGTCTCAACTTCCGCTGCACTACTCAAGTCTCACTCTACAACCGGGACTTAGTCTCTGAAAAGATCCTAAGGGCCTTTTCTCAGCCCAACAGCCCTGTTTGGAAGTGTTTCAAGTGGTGTCTTCACAGAATTCTACAGACACATGGCGACTAGGGATGTGCTGCTGGTCTTCCAGCTGGAGGCTGCTGGCTTGGGAGGAAGTGAGGGATGAAGTGGAGGAAAAGACGGGTGTTGCGCCACTGACCACTTGCATGTGGTGGTGTCTACTGAGTGTGACAGTTTGATGACAGATGTTCTTTCTAGGGGTGCGCCTACTCTTGTTTGTTTGTTTAGGAGTGCCATGGAGTTTGCTAGACCATTCTGTTTCCTTTCATTAATCATTCTGACGTGTTTGGCATACTTCTCAGTCCAATTGAGGGTACAGTGCTTGGAGAAGTATGCTATGTCAAACATCTGTATTTGTCATGTTTGTATAGACTGTATAGGGTTACCTCTTAGAGGGTACAACACTTAGATATATTTGTGTGTACTCTCACTTGTCAATATTCAATTCCTATTCTGATATGGTATCAGAGCCAAAGGTCTTGGGTTCAACTCCCAGTGCTAGCGCTGCAGAGGCGCTCGTGTCTTCCACCTATCCCAGCGGGGGGGGGGGTTTTGAGTGACCCGCTGGGGGTTGCCCTTGAGATCCTCGGGAAGGGCCACAGGTGCAGAGCCTGGGGGGCTATGGGCGCACTTACCCGCTATTTAACAAGCCCTTTTAACCCAGTGGTTAGTGGCTGGGTTTCTGACATGGTATCACGCTTAGGTAGGATCCCCCCCCACCTACCGCTTCCGCTCATGCCCCCTAGCGCCCCTTTCAGGCCCCGTCGCGCTCCTCCCAGGCCCCCTAGCGCCCCTCCTGGGCCCCGTCGCGCTCCTCCCAGGCCCCCTAGCGCCCCTCCTGGGCCCCGTCGCGCTCCTCCCAGGCCCCGTAGCGCCCCGTCGCGCCCCTCCTGGGCCCCGTAGCGCCCCTCCTGGGCCTCGTCGCGCCCCTCCTGGGCTTCGTAGCGCCCCTCCCGGGCCCTGTAACGCCCCTCCCAGGCCCCGTCGCGCCCCTCCCAGGCCCCGTCGCGCTCCCCCCAGGCCCCCTAGCGCCCCTCCTGGGCCCCGTCGCGCTCCTCCCAGGCCCCGTAGCGCCCCGTCGCGCCCCTCCTGGGCCCCGTAGCGCCCCTCCTGGGCCTCTTCGCGCCCCTCCTGGGCTTCGTAGCGCCCCTCCTGGGCCCTGTAACGCCCCTCCCAGGCCCCGTCGCGCCCCTCCCAGGCCCCGTCGCGCTCCTCCCCGGCCCCCTAGCGCCCCTCCTGGGCCCCGTCGCGCTCCTCCCAGGCCCCGTAGCGCCCCGTCGCGCCCCTCCTGGGCCCCATAGCGCCCCTCCTGGGCCTTGTCGCGCCCCTCCTGGGCTTCGTAGCGCCCCTCCTGGGCCCTGTAACGCCCCTCCCAGGCCCCGTCGCGCCCCTCCCAGGCCCCGTCGCGCTCCTCCCAGGCCCCCTAGCGCCCCTCCTGGGCCCCGTCGCGCTCCTCCCAGGCCCCGTAGCGCCCCGTCGCGCCCCTCCTGGGCCCCGTAGCCCCCCTCCTGGGCCTCGTCGCGCCCCTCCCAGGCCCCGTCGCGCTCCTCCCAGGCCCCCCCTCGCGCCCCTCCTGGGCCCCGTCGCACCCTGCCCGACCCCGTCGCAGCCGCCAGGCCCCGTCGCGCCCGCCCGGCGCCGTCGCAGCCGCCCGGCCCTGTCGCGCCCGCCCGGCGCCGTCGCGCCCGCCCGGCCCCGTCGCAGCCGCCTGGCCCCGTCGCGCCCGCCCGGCCCCGTCGCAGCCGCCTGGCCCCGTCGCCCTTGCCTGGCCCCGTCGCAGCCGTCCGGCCCCGTCGCCCCCGCCCGGCCCCGTCCCACCCTGCCCGGCCTCGTCGCAGCCGCCCGGCCCCGTCGCACCCGCCCGGCCGCCGTCCCGCTCGCCCGGCCTCGTCGCACCGGCCCGGCCCTGCCGCACTCGCCCGGCCCCGTCGCCCCAGCCCGGCCACGTCGCACTCGCTCGGCCCCGTCGCCCCGTCCCGGCCCTGTCGCACCAGCCCGGCCCCGTCGCGTTCGCCCGGCCCCGTCGGGCCAGCCCTGGCCCCGTCCTCCTCACTGGTACGGTTCCCCCCCACCCCGCCCTGCTCCGTGCCGCCCCGCACCACACTGTACTGCCTGGCACCGCACTACACCGCACTACACAGCACTGCTCAGCACTGCACCGCACTGTACCACACTGCACCGCACTCTACCGCACTGCACCGCACTGCACTGCCCTGCACTGCACTGGACTATTCCTGATGGCGGCAGAGCTTCGCTTCGACGCTGAAGGTCAGCCCCTAGAGTTCGAGGCGTGGCTTGCCGACCTCCGCCGTCAACTCACTGGCCAGAGGCAGGATGGTGAACCGCTTTCCGCACACCTTGACGGTACGCTCCCCTGCCCAGACCCCCCTGCTATTCTGCCCGCTGACCCCACACCCACTGAGCGCGAGGCTACTGCTGCCACTGCCCGTGCGCGCTCTGTCTGGCTTTCTCGCGATGCTGTTGCCCAGCTTGCCATTAGCAACGCCCTTCCCCCATCCGAGCGTCCTCGCTTTAGGTCCCTCACTACTGCTCAGGCATACTTAGATGCTGTGATCAAGCGCTATTCCACCCCTCCGGCTGCCTCGGTGGGTCGCCTGATCCTTCCGCTGCACTTTCCTGACCTTGCATCTTTCCCCACTGTCTCTGACCTCGCTGCCCACCTGCGCTCGATAGATGAGACCTGGCGCGCTGCCTGCACTGACGCCCAGCTTAGAGCCCACCAGCCGCCCATTACCTCTACCCTCTACCTGCTTGCCACCCGCCTCCCTGACCACCTTGCTGTCGCCCGCGACCGCTTTCTTAGCGTTCACCCCGCAGACCTCACCCTCACTGACTTTGTAGACACCCTGACTGTGATAGAGACCCGTCACCGCTCCATTGCCCAGGCGAGCGGTGTCGTGCCGGTCCCTATCTTTCAGGGTTGTGCCCCCGCTCAGTGCACCTTCTCCGACGGCTCTGCCGCAGTGGCTGAGACTGCTGCTGCAGCGCAGGTCCGTTCGGGGAAGGGCCGCCGCCCCAAGGCTGGGCGCGGCGGAGGAGGCGGCGGGGGTGCGAGCGGGGGTAGTGGTGGGGTCGGGTTGCCTGGTGCTGGAGTGGACGAGGGGACCCTGCCCAGTTCCGCTGAGTCGCCGCCCCTGCAGGTGCAGCAGCCGCAGCAGCCGCCGCAGTCGCAGCATTCGCAGCAGACGCAGCAGCCGTCGCAGACGCGGCAGACGAGTGTCCTCCCGCCAGGGTGGCCCGGCGCTGGCGGTGGCCGGGCGCGTGGTGGTGTGCCGCGTGGTGGCTCTGGCGGCGGGCGTTGTCAGTACCAGATCCAGACCGGTCCTCGCCGCGGCTTCGTTTGCGGTAAGCTCGGTCACTCCACTCCCCGCTGTTTTCGTCGCCTGGACGACTTCTTTCGTCAGCGCTTCGGCCCGTCGCCAGACCTCCCGGACTGGCACAGTTTGCTTAGTCGTCAGATTCAGATTTTTGATCTGGACATGGATGCCATTGTTTCTGCTCTGCATGTGATGTATGCTGATGACTCTAGTGTGCTTCCCACTTATTACTCACTGTTGCCTAGTGCATGTGTGCCTAGCTTAGCCTCCCCTGCTACGTCAGGCGTAGGATCCCGTGCTTTGTGTAGTCTTGGTGCTTCCGCCGTCGTTCCGTCGCCAGACCCCTCGGCTTCGCTTTCCTTCACCTTGGACTCTGGCGCCTCTCGGTGTTTCTTCCGCGACTCCACCACCCTGACGCCGCTTCCTGTTCCTGCTGCCGTTTCTCTTGCTGACCCCTCCGGCGGTCCGGTAGTCGCCCGCAGTTCCACCACCCTTCCCTGTCCGGCGGTTCCTTCGGGTTCTCTTACAGGTCTGCATATCCCCTCGTTCTCCAGGAACCTAGTTGGTGTCGGCTGCCTCCAGGACCTTGGCGTCACCACTACGTTCCCTGGTCACGAGCGGTATGCTGTCTGTACCGAGGCCGCCACTGGTGCCCCCCTGTCCACGTTCCCCCGGGACCCGGTGTCCGGCCTGTTCACTCTGGACACCGTGACCCCCCCGGCTGGAGCGCCCCCTCAGGTGGCTGCGTCTACCCAGGTTGCTGCTGCCTGCTCCTGTCGCTCCCTCACTCACCCGACCCTCCTGTGGCACCACCGCCTAGGTCACCCTGCGCTCCAGCGTCTGCGTCACATGTCTCAGCACGGTCTCGTCCTTGGTCTCCCAGGTTCGCTCCCCGCGTTTCCCTCCTCTCCAGCCCCACCTTGCACGCCTTGTGTCGAGGGTCGGCTTCGCCGTGCCCCTCACTCCTCCTCGTTTCCCCCTACCGCCGCGCCGCTGCAGACCCTGCACCTAGACGTCTGGGGCCCCGCCCCCGTCCCTGGGCCGCGTCGAGAGCGCTACTTCCTTGTGCTTGTCGACGACTTCACTCGTTACACCACAGTCTTTCCCCTGGAGCGCAAGGCCGACGTGCCTGGCGCTCTCATCCCCTGGCTTGTCTCTGCGCGTGTCCACCGCGGTCTCCCTGTCTTGCGTCTTCACTCAGACCGTGGTGGCGAGTTTGCCTCCGGTGTCCTTGGTCGCTTTTGTCGTGCGGAGGGCATCACCCAGACGTTCACCCTACCGGACTCCCCACAGCAGAATGGGGTCGCTGAGCGACGCATCGGTTTGGTCATGGAGGTCGCTCGCACCTCCATGATCCATGCCGGTGCACCCCATTTTCTGTGGCCGTTCGCTGTGCGCTACGCTTCTCACCAGCTTAACCTGTGGCCGCACCCTCAGCAGCCGCAGGTTTCGCCCACCCGTCTTTGGACTGGGTCCCCTGGTGACGCGTCTGCGTTCCACATCTGGGGCTGCCTTGCTCACGTCCGTGCCTCCGGCACGGACAAGCTCACTGCCCGCACCCTTCCCTGCGTCTTCCTCGGTTTTCCCCTTGACGCGTCCGACTGGCACTTTTACCACCCGCCGTCTCACCGCTTCTT